AGATTCCCCGCTTGGGCCCCTGTGTGACCCGTGGGCCGAGTAACAGCTCTAATCCCCCTTGGCACGTCATGAATCTGCATGATCTTCCGATTGCCTCTGCCGTATGGGAAGCATTCCAACTTCCCGCGGCAGAAGTGGTGGAGATTTGTGACGGGCCTGGCTGAGCGCTGATGGTCGCCAAGTTGCCGTCCCAGTGAGGGCCATGAGCAACCTTTGCATCGGCGCCAATCGGATGCGCACCGCACGGAACTGCACGTGGGCATCTGAGCTGCATGCCAATATTTTTTAGCCTCCAACTGAGCCCGGGCGCACTCATATGAGCCAGTGCAGCGCCAACTGCCTTCCTTCAAGTGCCGCCCAATTGCTCCAAACAGTGGTGTGCTTCTTCCTCTTCAGAGAGGCTCGAATGGACTCAGGGTTCCTCGGCACGGTGATGGCAGCGACAGAGTGTCGCAACAAAGCGCAATTCATTCCTTTGTATTGGCCCCGCCTTGCAAAGAGTTGGCTGCCCGCTAATGGTGAGAACGCCGCCCACGTGGTGGCTCAATGGTGGGTTATTCGCTGGGCAAAGAGAAAGTCAAGAAAGTGCCGTTGGACCACTCCGCCTCAGAATGTGGTCGTGGGCATCTCGTGGACGCCGTCCAATCCATGAGTCCGCCCATAAATTTCTCCCTCAATAAATATGCTCCGCCCCAAGCCTCACTACGATAGATAGGGGAGAATATTCGCCTGGACCGCTGGACGAATCCTAAAATTATCTAAAGAGAACAAGCAAGAGAGGGAAAAGGGGTAAATGGAGAGGCAGTGGCTTTGCCACACCCTCAATGTTTGCTCAAAGTAGATACATGTGTTTTCTAAAGGCCGCTCTCGTGACACGGTGCAGTCTATTCAGATGGATGATGTTTATTCATTACGAAGTGGAAGACTATGAGTTCCTCCAGCCACAAGGCCCCGCCGCGATTTGGTAATCAAAGGAGGATGGGTGAGAAAGAGAAAAGCAAATGAAAGGACATTCGTCTTGCCGTTATCAGTTCCTCGACTCCCTCCATCGCGGTGTTTTATTGCTTCCAAAAGATGGGCAATTATCGGAAATAAATATATTCGCTTCATCAGGAGGATACATTAATGTTGGCAACAAGCCTTCCTCGCGATCATTCTCTCTACAAGCTACTAGAAGAAGACATTATTACCAGGTGTTCCTCTAAACACACCTCCGCCCACAAAATTCCTCTCACAGCCCTTTAAAAAAAAAAAAAAGAACGAAAAATGACAACCAAATTCAAAAAACAAAAACAAAAAATAATCTTCTTTGCCGCTGGCCGGATCCCGAAATTTCCTATAGAAACCAAACAAGGTAGGGAAAAAAGGGTTTATCGCAGAGGTAGTTAATTGCCTCACTGTTTTCTTTTTATCCAATAAATAAATCCAATTGACCGTTCGCATGGTCTTTTGTCCTCAGAATCGGAAAGATAATTACTTACGAAGTGGCAGACTTTAGGGTCTTCCGAGCACAAGGCCCCGTCGCGACGTGGGAATCAAAAGAAGGTGAGTGGAATGGCAAAACAAGAATAAAATTGCCTATTCGCTGTCTGCTCCCTGTTCCACCTAAAGTTGTGTTCTTTTCACGTTCATAAGACAGAAAGGTATCATAAAGAAGTGAATTCTTTATTATCGGGATTTAAAATTAATTGAGTTAGCCAGCTTCCCGCAATTCTTCTCTTCACAAGCTCCTAGTAAAATAAGAAAAAAAGGGATTGTGCCCCAACAATACAAATGACTTCTTTTTTCTAAATGCTGCTTCACACGCGCACTAATTCTTTTGCGTTCTTGACGCACAAACCAGTTCGATTTGGAAAGGTTTTTATTCGACCCAACGTAAATAGCAGAGAAAAAATAGAGGCCCCTTTTGGCCGCACACAAATGCACCTCTTTTCAATTGGAGTTATGTGCACCGAGAAGGAATTTAAAAAAGATCAAAAAGAAGAAGTAAAACTACCCACCAAAAACTGGCACATTTACAATTGAACGGTTACAAAACGCGTTTCCTAGGAAATCATTGACACATTGACACAAAAATAAGGACCAGTAAAATCAATGGGATTGATGGAAAAGCTGACAGCAAACTGCTCACGCCTCCACCTCCCCTGCATGCATCGATGACAGTGCATACATCGTCGTACTTTGGACACAAAATCCTCCCTTCCGTGAAAAACGCAGTTGGTGTAATACTGCTGCCCTCTGGGCATTTGTGCCACGTATCGTCTCCAAGGTACCGCACGCTCACCTCGCCCTTTTCACACGACACCTCAGCGCACACGTCACCAGTAAACCCCGTGGAATCGGCAAGTCCATCCCCTTTCAAGCACTTTGATTTCGAGCCAACGCGGCTCCCACGCATAACGGTTGCGTTCCCATTACTGCATCTAGTTTTGATATTCGGTCGAATGTAAGGGCAGAAGTCCATTAAGGTGTTGAGGGCACCGCCAAGTTTGGGATCCGAAAAGTACTGAAATTGTGGGGGAAGAGGAGCGTCGTAGAGATAGATTGTACAGCGCCCCAGCGCCAGGCGATCCGATGTGCATGAAAGGAGACTACTTTTAACGGTGCAAAACATCTCCCGATACTGGGTGACGCCATTCACCACGCATTTCTCCGTCAGCAGCGCGCAGCCGGAGTTGTTGCCCCATGACATCGGTTCCTCCTTTCCCCAATTTGCCATGTAAAACCCGGTGTCCTCAAAAGCAGCCATTGTCAACGCCGTGTAGTATCCGATGCCGGGAATACCAGCCATCAACTCGTCCTTTGCGTTGCGTCTCTTCCAATGCGACGATGCTGTCCTTTCCCCACCCTCGTCCTCCAGCTCCATGCCGGTAGCACTCATGCAGTTGTAGTGCTCACGAGTCTTCTCCACCGTCTTGGGTGACGACACCTGAAGCACCTTTGCCTTGCCACGTACACCCTCAAACTCTTTTATTATATTGAGTTTTTCCATTATCCCCATGACAAACCCAAGAGCGTGTGCAATCTCATGTACCACAATACGAACACTGTACTCCGAATCAGTGACAGAGCTCGGGCCATAATTCACCACACCGATAACAGGACGCCCATCCGG